GGTATCTTTCACAAAAGCAATGAATAGCAGTTGGGTGCTTCAATGGCTCGGAGCTAGGCTCGCAGACTCCATTAGGTTCCCATTCGAGAGTCAGTTCTCATTCGGTTCCCATTTGGTTGCCAATCGATTCCCACTCGATTTCCAATCCCAGCTGCCCTGTGGGCAATCCCTCCATAGATCGCATCCGAAACGTTGCTTATAAGCTAACCACCGTTTGCTCTGCAAGCCAAACAATAAAATTGACAAGAAACACTGTTTTGAAGCTTCTCCAGGGTCCTTTTACAAAAAATGAATCGAGGATGACGTTTGTTGACAGAAACCGACAAATTTTGTAACATTTATCGTTAAGGTGCTCTAGGTGACACAAGAAATTGAAAAGCACGGCGAAAGCATGCGAAGATGTTGGAGAGTCACGAGAAGATCCCAAAAAAATTAGATTTCGGCTGAGTAGGAGAAAAATGCGACAGAATCGACAAAATCGAAATGGGCGAGGGCACAAAATAGAATTTGGCCTTTGGCAGCCAAGTGAAAAGGGTCATGTTTTGGGGGTTCACTTAACTAGCAAAAGAGCCAGTTTGCCAAACTATTATACATAAATCGTTTTCTAAAAGAGCGTTTTTATTTTGAAATTTTAGTGCCGTTCGTGGTTGTGATTATGTGCTTCACGTAGCTTCTCCTTTCCCGATTGTTTCAACGGAGGAGACGATTAAAACAGCAATTGATGGAACACTTAATGTATTAAAGGTAGGGCATTGGAAAACTTGAGCTAATTTGTTTCAACTTTTATTAAAGGTCCTTAGCAAATCATTTTAGAGGTAAAGAATTATAAAATTTTAGTTAGAGTTGTTTGTTTAAAAGAAACTAATTCGTTTTAGGCTTGTCAAAATGAGGCATCGGTGAAGAAAGTGGTGCTCACCTCGAGTTGTGCAGCGGTTAATGGTGGGTTTGAATTGTTTTAATGCTTGAAACCTAAAAAATGACTAATTTAGAATTTAAAACAGTAAGATTAAGATCATTTAAGAGCGAGGCCAATTATAGAATTAAGTTATTTAAGAATTCAAAACCAGGAAATTTTAATGAAACAATTTCAAAACTTGGCTCAAGACAGGCTAAAGACCTATTTTTTAGCTACCTCGTAACTAAAATGTGTTTGGATTCTAGAGTTTTATGAATAAGCTTTATTTCCAAGCCTTTGGCAATCTTAAAATTTGAGAAGGAAACGATCCCGATCGAATTTTCGATGAAGGGAGTTGGACAAACACGAGAAGCTCCCAAGTCGACTTTTACGCAAAAAGCAAGACATTGGCCGAGAAAGCAGCATGGGATTTTGTGGCCAATATACAGGATGGAAATAAGTAGACCAGCTGAAAGTATTCAGATATGCAAAATTATAGATTTAAACTGACAACCCTTAATCCAACGCTGATCGTCGGTCCACCACTGATTGATGATGATCAAGGAACGAGTATTACGGTAAGTTTGATGCAATTTAAAATGGCTTTGATTGACCGCATTTTACTGTTTATTACTGTCCTTTTAGTTGATTCGACGATTTTTGAATCCTTGGGAGATGCCCGGTGTGCCGGGAGTCTCCCTGGCGTTGGTTGATGTGAGAGATGTGGCAAAGGTGAGTGTAAAATGCGATAGAAGCAAAAACTGATCAAAATCAAGACCAAAGCTTGAAGCTATTGGGTTGATGAATTGAAAACTGCGGGCTATATCGCGGGACTCGCAGATAAAAAACAACAGCATTGAACCAGCTGAAAGGGGGTTGAGATAACATTTCCTAAAAGTTTTAGCCACTTAGCCAGCAATGAGCCTGCGAAATCAAAAATCTGATATTCAGGCTCACATCGAGGCGATGAGGCGGCCGGAAACTGATGGGGAGCGGATCCTTTGTACTTCTCAGCCATCCTTCTGGTTCCGAGACTTTGCTCGCATTTTGGGTAAAGAGTTTCGACGACAGGGTAAATTTCAAAGTTTTCTTTCAAATTAAGCCAAGACTTTGTTAACAAGATCAATTCTCCCAGGAGCAAACAATTTCCAGGTTACTGGGTGCCTTTGATCCAAGTTCCCTATGCTGTCGTTTACATTTTCTCATTCTTCGACGCGCAAGCTGCCTCCGTTTTGCATAGAATTGGACCAGAAGTGAAATTTTCCAACAAGAAGGTAGTCAAAAACCAGTTTTCTATAATACTATATGGAAAGTGCCTCATTAAAACTTAAATGATGCTATTTTGCAGGCAAAACGCTTGCTCGGTTTGGAGTTTCGCGATCCAGCTGAGTCGATCGTCGAGATGACTTATCATTTGATTGAACGTGGAATAATCAAGAAGAAATCCGGATATACGGGAATGCCGGACAAATACAAAATGGCTTTGTGAATAAAAGTTGATTCGTGAACTGGCAAAATGATCTTGAAGTTGATCAAATAGCAATGCTACTACTTGTTCATCTTGAAGTGCAATCGTTTAATGGTAATTTTAGTTGAAAAACGCTGCCGGGGACTGCAAAATAGAATGGGCTTTGGGTCGGTTTAGGTCCAGCTAAAATGCGATTTTTCCGATCACATTATCCCAAGCTGTAAAAATCCCATAAATAATTTCTACTGATTCTAAAGCACTACCCTTTACGGTTCGAATGAAAGATGTTCAAGATGTTAAACTTTCTAGGAACAACAGTGCATTAAATATTCCCATGTTAATCATAACCAAACATAACAAATAACTCACAAAACGAATGTTATCAATTCATCTCCATCTTCGGTAGTCTCCTCAGAGGCCAAACGTCATCTCCATTATTGTATTCTTCTGTCTCTTCAGCATGTGCAGAGCACTCCCGTGATTGATTTGCATACAATTGGTAGACTGTCCTTCATTCATATATTTCTTCTTTACTTTTTGGCCACGAGTTCTGCCTAAATCTGCGACTTTATATTGAAATAGTGATTGATATAAAGTGACAAAGAAACCCACCTAACGTGCTTTTGGTTACAGGTTGTGTTCAGAGTTGAATAGCCGTTGAATCTTTCATGCGTTGTCTCTTTGGATTATTTAAATGTATCCCGGCAAAGCTAGATAAAATGATGGTTGTATACAAACAGATCGAACTTACGAAAACACGTGTGCTGCACTGACACTGATAGCAGAAGAGAAAATTTCACAGATATTCATGATCACATTATACGGGTGCAGCCACATGATTGTCCTCGTCCAATGGCTAAATTAGAAAATATGTAACTCAATAAAGTCGCTTGTAACTTCATAAGCTTAGCAGCCAAATCAACTTATCAATTCACTATTTTATAACTTTAAAGTCAATAAATTAACCTGAGCAGAAAGTAAGTAAAAGCTTTTAAACACAACTTACCAAATATTGAAGAAGCGTGTATGATTCTTTGTGTTCCAGATGGATGAATTGAAGTGACCCCAATGATTCTAAATAAATATATTAATATATTGAAACTAAATCAACAAAGTTAAAAACAAATTATAAAAAGAATACAAATAAACGTATTGAACAATATATTTTAGCTAAAAATAGAATGAATGAAAAATGAGATGATTTTTGTTGTAAAATTTACACTTGCAACTTTAATAGTTGCATAAAGATGCCGTCCAATTGCATTTTAGCACTTGCGTTCTTTTCTTTTGCATGTATTTTCTCAAATTTAACAGTAATCTTAAAGATTTTGTGTTTTTAATAGAAAACAAACAATCATTACGGTCTAAAAGAATAATTTGAAAAAAAAAGCGAAAAGCAGGTGCCTAATTTAAAATATTTTCTTAGACCGGAGTAAAGAAGCAAAGAGGTTTAAACTCACATTTGTGATCACATTCAGCCATGACTCTTGTACTCTCGCTTCTTCTTCAAACAACGAGCCGACATTTGCCGTTAGTAGAAGTACTCTTTTCATGTAAATCTGAAAAAATAGAATAAGTAAAAGAAATTTTGAGAACATTTAAATAAAATGAAACAAGATTTAAACAGTATATTTAAATACAATGAAACAAGATTTAAAGATAAAGAAATGATAGAGAAACGATAAAGAAAAGACAAAGGAACGATACAGAAAGATAAAGCAACGATAAAGAAACAATCAAGAAACGATAAAAACGGAGGTGGGACAAATGCTACCTTTTTTTTGCGCACCTTTTTTTGCTGGAAAAGGGCTTAGGCAAGGCCGTAGAGCTTCGAAAATATTTCCATATAAGGGAATCGTATGCGTAGATTAGGAATTTCGACAAATCAGACCTCGCTGACATGTCAAATTTGGGCTAAAAGGCAAAAACTACGCAACTTAACGCGTTTCCGCAGTTTTTGCCTTTTAGCCCAAATTTGACGTGTCAGCGAGGTGTGATTTGTCGAAATTCGGAATCTACGCATACGATTCCCTAGTATGGAAACATTTTTGAAGCTCTACGACCTTTCCTAAGGCCTTTTCCAGCAAAAAAAGGTGCGCAAATGTCCAGGTGCGCAAAAAAAGATCGCATTTGTCCCACCCCCAAAATAGACATTTATTCCTTCATTTTGATGCAAAAAGATTAAAAATTTGATAGCAGGTTTTGAAGGAATACATGTTTGAATTAGACATGTACACTATAAGCTATAAAAATAACGAACTGTCACACTACAAACGCTTCTAACTTGCTTCAAATCTACCTGATTGACTTGATCTATAGCTTAAAAAATCTCAAGAGCTTTCGAGTAGAAAAAAGTAGACTCAAAAATATCAATGCTAAATAGAGTTACAGTGGTTTGTAGCCGCAAGTATGGTCCTTTTCGAGTCAGGACTACAAATCACTGTATCTTTCTTTAGCATTGATATTTTTGGGTGTGCTTTAGTCCATTCGAAAGCTCTTGAGATTCTCTATTTTAGCTCTTCTCTATTCTCTATTTTAGTCCTGACTCGAAACGGACCATACTTGCGGCTACAAACCACTGTATCTTTCTTTAGCATTGATATTTTTGAGTCTACTTTATTCTATTCGAAAGCTCTTGAGACTCTCTATTTTTTAAGCTATACCAATCCGACAAATTTGATGTAAATTAGAAGCGTATATAGTTTACGTTTGTAGTTTATAGTGTCCATGTCTAGTTTGAATGTATGACTCGATTTAAGGGCCCTCAAAGTTCCGGTGTTTACCAGAAATTTTTCTGAAAAAGATGTTGTAAAAAGAAAATACGAATTTGGGCAAATATCTAGGTACAATTTAATTTGTGGCACAAACTCTAACTAAATTAGAATCTCGTCTCTAATTAGGCTACAAAAAGTAAAAAACGAGAAAATTACGTCGCCTTTTCTCCTTTTACCTCTCATTTCCGTGTAATCCATTTTTCTGGGTTTATCTGTTGGTGGCAACGAGACAAAAATCTTAAATCATGTGTTGCAAAGTCTATTGAAATCATTTTGGTCATTTATTTTAGCAATAAATCCTTTGTGAACTTGTTTCTCATTAAAAACTCACGTTTTAAGCCGTTTTAATTACCCAAGTCATCTGGAAAGTATGCCTAGATGCTTATTTTTCATGCTAAAACTAAGAAAAGCAAGCATGACTTCAATTTCAAAAGGTAAATTCTAATTTTGAGTGTTTTTTTTGTTGGAACTAGAATGTTTTCTTTTGAAAGCAACGTTTTGAGCCGATTTAATTACCCAAGGCCAGGCACTAGATGAGATTTTGGCTGAGGGAGACAAAAAGAAAGCACAATTTAAGAAATTGACCATGCTTTGTTCATATTTGACTCGGGGATTATTGAGGCTTGTGAGGCTCCAGGTTTAGCAGATTTTGGCGCAAAAACCTCTTCAAATCATTTTTTCAAGCAACTGCTTTATTTGGACTTACTTTTAAGTGATTAAAGAGTTAGTTAGACTCAGAAATCTTTCAGTTTTTCAAATCTTCTGCATCTAAAATCAAAATCAACCCTAATTCCACCTTCGTTTTCTTGGCTATTTCTTGCTGAAAATGTTGATTTCTATCCGTAGGCAAAATTTTAGAGCAATCGATGAAGAAAACAAATGTGGAATTAGGTTCGGCTTGGAATTTTCCCCGTCTAGTGCTCACTCGGGGATTATTGAGGCTTGTGAGGCTCCAGGTTTAGCAGATTTTGACGCAAAAACATCCGCAAAAACCTCTTCAAAGCACTTCTTCAAGCAACTGCTCTATTTGGACTTACTTTTAAGTGATTAAAGAGTTAGTTAGACTCAGAAATCTTTCAGTTTTTCAAATCTTCTGCATCTAAAATCAAAATCTCAGCAATTCAATTAATCAAGACAACTTTTACATCTTTTTTTCTTTTAAAATACATTAAAAATCAAAGCAAACAATGAAAAATCAATTCGAATTTAGATGATTAGATTGGACAATTTAAGAAATTGACCATGCTTTGTTCATATTTGATAAATTTTATCAAAATCCAATTTAATTACCCAAGTCAAAAGCCTAAAATCAACTCAAAACAAACAAACAAACAAACAAACTTGTTAAACAAAATTTTCTCAAGGAAAAGCAAGAATTCTTTTTCATTTGTCAATGAATCACGAAGTTTTTCCTTTACAAAACCCTATTTCCCATTTGTTTTCTTCTCTTTAAAAAGCAAAAAAAGAAAAAAAAAATTGCATTATTCAGCGGCACTCAAAATTCTGTTCGTGGCTTTGCGTGACAATTTTTAGGCAATTTTCAGTAATCAAAACATTTGCGGGTTTTTGAACGTTTGTAAGTTCAAACTTTTACAATTTTGAGTTGAAATTAGATAAATTTTCAAAAGATTTCGATTTGAAAGTCATCTCGAAAGGCGATTACGGATTTCTGGAGCTAAAACCTCTCTCGATTGCATGAGATTTCGTTTTCATTTCTTGTTTCTCTAAAATACTCAATTTTCTTTAAAATTCTCATCAATTTTTGATCAATTTTTATTGAAACTACTTTTTCTTGCTCTTAAATAAGCCGTGAGTCAGTATTTGCTCATACAAAAAGATCGTTTGAACCTTTGAACGGTTGAAGTAACTTTGTGCAACAAAAAAAACGCTTTTTTGAATCCAATCATCTAAATTCAAATTGATTTTTCATTGTTTGCTTTGATTTTTAATGTATTTTAAAAGAAAAAAGATGTAAAAGTTGTCTTGATTAATTGAATTGCTGCGATTTTGATTTTAGATGCAGAAGATTTGAAAAACTGAAAGATTTCTGAGTCTAACTAACTCTTTAATCACTTAAAAGTAAGTCCAAATAGAGCAGTTGCTTGAAGAAGTGCTTTGAAGAGGTTTTTGCGGATGTTTTTGCGTCAAAATCTGCTAAACCTGGAGCCTCACAAGCCTCAATAATCCCCGAGTGAGCACTAGACGGGGAAAATTCCAAGCCGAACCTAATTCCACATTTGTTTTCTTCATCGATTGCTCTAAAATTTTGCCTACGGATAGAAATCAACATTTTCAGCAAGAAATAGCCAAGAAAACGAAGGTGGAATTAGGGTTGGCTTGAAATTTTCCAATGTCTAGTGAGCACTAGACATGGGAAATCGAGGCGGTTCGAGGCGACGATATTTTGGCACTAAATTTCACCTTAATCTAATTCTTTTTACATTATATAGAGCACCTTATGGGCTACATTTTGACACATAATAAATAGCAAAATCTCCTGTGGATGAACGAGATAAATACGTTTGAACTGTCGCCCCGAAGAGGCTTTCGGGGTGACCCGTCGCGACGGGTCAACCAGGTTTTTCTCATTCAATTCAAAAAGATATTGAGAAGTATTATAGGTCAAAATGTAGCCAATAATGTGCTCTATTTAATGTAAAAATAGTTAGAACAATAACATTTTTTGGTAAAAACTTTTGGTTAAAATATCGTGGCCGCGAACCGCTCCGATTTCACCCCGATTTCCTATGTCTAGTAAGCATCACAGAAAGATCATACAGGCAAAACGCTTGCCGGTCGATAAAGTGAGCATTTATTTGCACAGTTTTGTCAATTCCTATAGACGGAGAATAACTCCAGAATTGAGTTGAGAAATCGGGGAATTCTCTCTTTCGCATTTTTCATTTTCGATTTATCGTCTTAAGTTTTTGATTGAAAAATCTTCTCAAAAAATTCAAAAAGTTTATCTTTTTGTTGTCTTTGAAATCCGAGCTTGAATCTGAATGCGAAAATCGTTGAGTAAACAATTTTTCGCGTTTTTTTCCTGAGGAAGAGACCAAAATTCATCATCCAATCTTTGCTCGTTTTGAAAATTCTCTCAAATGTTAAGGTTTAGTTTGAAAATTAGAACTAGAACTAGCACGAGAAAGCTTTTTTTCATTTGAACAAGAGATTTTGTGGGAAATTTCATTTCCAAATGGACATTTGGTCCCTCTTTGTTCGTCTCTTTCTCAATCATCCAGCTCTTTCAAAGATCTACTTTCTCATTTATGATTTTCTCCTAAAATTTATACATCTCTAAAGCTCTTTGTCAGCTTAAATACTTATACTTAAAAGATAATTAAGAAATATTTCGGATATTTATACTTAATACTTACAAAGGGAAGGTCAACTGGCTTAGCCGGTCAAATGCTATGCGATCTATACTATTAAACGCAGAATTTGATGCTGATTCCGAATCTATATTCTGCTTTTGCTAAAGGAGAATCTGTCAGAAGCTATAAGTGTCTAAAGTTTTGTTTGGGCTCAGAAAATGTGGTCATTTGGGTCTTAGCGGAGGTCTTAGCCTTCTTGCGGATTGAATTGAATGCCGAGTGGCCGAGTCGTAGGGCTCTAGAGTGAGACCACACAAGTTTGATCCTCGCTTTAGACTTTGCTTTCTTTCAAGAAGTGCTGACTAGTCTTCTTTGCTGATCTTGCTGTTCTTTCTTTGCTAGTGCTGACTTTTACAACAGAAAATCTACTATAGATTAGGCTGGCTAATAAGTAATGACAGATTT